GATGCGGTGCCTTGGCGGTGTGCCCTTTTTACTACGTTAGACTGGCATCTTCCAGCAAAATGCGCCACCCCCGGACAGCAGTCGTCGCAGGCTGCTGCGGCGCGCCACAGGTGCTCGCTTCTTCACGGACGGTGGGATGTCGTCATCGACCTTGTCCAACCCCACTCGACCAATCCCGCAAAAAACACTCGTTAGACTCCAGGAACCTCTCGACACTCACGGCAATCGACTCAAGAAAATCGTTCATTATGCCTTGGCAGCCTTCTTGGCTTTCTTTGGCGCTTTCTCGTCCGTCGTCGGCGCCGCCTTGGATTTCGTGGACTTGGCTGTCTTTCCATCCACGTTCTTCCCGTCATTTTGCACCGACTTCTCCTTGGCTTGTGTCTCTTTCGCTTCGTTTGCCAGTGCTTTCTTCGCGTCCAATTCCGCTTGGTGTTTGAGGCGGCGCTTGGCGTTCTTGCGCTGGTTGCGGGCCCTCAACCGTGCGATCTCTTCAGGGGTGATGCACGCCCGCCTGTGTTTCTGCATACAACTAAAGTCAACGTCGCGCTCTACCACCATGACACCTTTGTACCTTGGACTGAACGTGGTTCAACACATCTTGCTCGTTGAAGAGCTTGACCTTGGGGCACACTTTGCAACGGAACGCATTTCGACCCTCCAGTGTCGTTGGAACAAAGTCATCCAAAAATGCTGCACGTTCCTCATCTTTGTTGCCCTCGCCTTCGCTCTCTTCTTCGTCGGCGTCCACCTCCTTCCGTGACACGAATGGATCTTCATTGCTTTCATCGGAATCTTGACCAGTGGGAAGTTCCTCCTCGCCCTCCTCGTCGGCATCTTCTTCTCCTTCCTCGCCAGACATATCCGACAAGTCGTGGTCGTCATCCCTAGCGACCAGGTCGGCGTTCATGATGTCCATGTGCTTCTTTGCCGCTCGGAACAGCGCCATCTTCCGTGCCTTGATTTCGTGACCTTTTGGACATTGACTGGCACTGGGTTAAAATCCGGATACGATCATCGTACGATATCCGGAATCCCGAAACCCCGCGGCGTCTGACGACCCCAAACGACGATTGGTTTGTCCTTTCATGGACTCCTGATGGTGCATCTACATCGTTTGCAGTTCTCCGCCGCAACTAGAAGAGCTAGATGGTTCGAGTGCTCTCATGCCCTCATGCAGTGGAAGGGACATCGTAGTCTTCGATGAATTGATTTTTCTTAAGGATTGCATGACGAATTGTAAGAAAAAGAAGAGGAATTCGAAAATTGATGTTGATGCC